AAGTCAGACTTTCTTGGATGAAATTCCCTGGTCTGTAGCCGAGCGGGATATGCAACCTTATCAGCTAGTGGTCCAAATTTAGACCTCTACCAAAGTTGACGGTATTGGTGTTCCTGCCTGCCACCTTTACCTAAGGTACCTTACTCTGCTTGAAGCTACTACGCTTTTCTTTTTTTTTCTTTTTTTCTTTTGGCCCTATTTTTTTCTACTACTACCCCGCCTGTCTCAATTCTCGGCGGAAAACGGGCTTTCTCAACTTCACTTCCTTCACGGCTTTTCTTCTAGTGCTCGCTTATTATTATACGCACCTCCCTAATCAAATCCGTACTGAGAGGACTTTGGGGCGGACGTGTCTCCGATGACTCGATGACGTTGGACTTCTTGTGTAAGATGAGCTTTAGCCCGAATAGAATATAAACTTCATGCTGCTACCGTTTGAAAGCATCAAGATTGAGCGGAAAAATGTTGGTGGGAGATCGAAAAGGGTAAGAGTAGCGCCAAGGTGCGCCACTGCATGCCCGTTATGGATCTGGCAAGTTTGACGCTAGTACTCCTAACGACATCCCTTTGGTCCCCTTGAGTCTCTACATCCGACAAGCTTCTCCTATTATGTATAGACGAAATGCAACTTCCGATGCCAAGTGCATTAAAGTGGGTCCCTAATGCTGGAAAAGCTAGCAAAAGAAGAGGTGCATGGTTAGTCCAGAGAATGGACCTGTTTTGCGACTACTGAACAACGACTACCGGTATCCAGCTTCACCAACGCCCAGATCCTGCAGCCCCTTGCCTTACCCTGAGATACGCCACCCGCGGGTAACCAGCTTGGCTACGGCGTGAGCACTGGGCAGGCTTGCTATCGATAGGATAATTTCTCTAACCGACGCCTGCCCGGGCATACCACAGCAGTCGTGACAATTGATTCAGAAGCTCATTTCGAAATCCTCTGGTCGAGAAAGCCTCAGCACTGCTGCGAGAGCTGAGCCTTCCAGAAGTGGAAGATTCACAGCCATTAGGAGACGCTTTATCGTCTGTCTATCGTCATGCACTACATGCGGCTTGCACTGCTCGTATTCATGCAGCCATCCTGATTCTGGACGAGTCGATTCTGCATCTCATCGGGTTCGGAGTTATTGGCCTATCTTCTAAGCGCGCCTTGATGTTGAATTCACGTGCATCTGAAAATATACCCTAACTAGTCCCTGCTTTCATTGGGGATCTTCTATACACAAGAGCCGCTTTAGGAGTTAGCTTGAAACCATTCCTGTCCTCGAGTCCGGATTGGGATGGTGCTCAAATGTGCTGGAGGCCTGGGCACCAGCACCACCTCCGGCGAGACCGGGTCGTGCCTGGTGCCAGGCTGTCCAGCTTATCGTTACGGAAATTCTTCGTCTTATTTCTTATTTCCCTTGCTCGCTCCTCTTCATAAACCTGTCCTGTCCCCTCCATCCCAGTTTTCTTTTCTCGAGGATTTCCAATTTTTCAAGACTTGCTCTCACTCGTTTGAGCAGGGCTTGATACAGTTACCCCCACACTCGCTCCCCCTTCTTTCTACGACTCTTTTCACTCCTGAGTATCAATCCAATCAATAGCTCACTGCTGATAAAACGACATCATGTTTAAGTCCGTCAAGAACTACATCAAGCCTGGGAAGGAGGCTCCTTCCAGAGGCAACGATGTCTTGCCAACAGCCACTTCCACCCCGGCGGCCAGATCTTCCGCGACAACTCCTCATAGCAGCCGTCCACCTACCGGTGGTTACGGTCGAGCAAGCGGTGCTACGAGTTTCAGCGACATGGGTCTGATGAGCGCTACAGTCAACCTGATGCGTATGACACAGATTCAACAGAGGTACATGTGGTGCTTGCCTCACCCTCCACCTGGAGAGGGGTGTGTGTACAAAGTAAAGCCTGGAGAGTTCATAACACATCCAGAGTCGCTGAGACAGAACAACGACCCATTCTTCGAAGCCGCGGCGGAGCTCAACTCAAGGGTTAGTTCACACCCGAACCCGGACCACAGACTTTCCAAACAAGCTAACAAATGCTTAGGTGATGATCAGTATCAAAGACCGTGTCGTTACCGTTCTGCTGAACCAGCCGGACCTCCTTTACATCCCCATCCAGGACAACCTACGTCTACAGATAGTACCAGACGTGGAGTACATTCCTAGGTGCCAGCGAAGTCAGGGTGCTGCTTTCTGTAAAAACCAGGACATGTTGGTCGTTTGGGGCGACAGTGTCGATGCTACCGAACAACGCGCGGACAAGTATCTGAAGCAGATGGTCGAAGTCTTCTCCCAAGGCTTCGGCACTTATAATGAGAAAGAGAAGGATAGCGTCATGGTCAAGGAAATGCCCATGGAAGGCTCCGAGGATGCTTATTCCGGCGACGTGGACCCCGAAGACAATTTTCAAGAGCCTCGTCGCAAGATTGTTCTGATACAAGCTGTCTTGACTGGCATGACCCTCCTCCTGATCGTCGCCGCCATCGGTTCTGGATTTCGCCAGATCGCGATCGAGATTGGCATTGATCACAGCTACATTCGCCTTGCCTTCGTCATTGCAGTCCCGTTTCAGATGTGGCTCGCATTGGTAAGCCGCTGTTTTCGAGTAATCCTCAACTTGTTCTTTGCTGACAAAGTTTCGGACAGTTCTTCATGCAATCAATCGCAGGTATGGTCGCTCAGATGATTGGTCCCACTCAACAGATGAGGCAGAACTCGAAGTTCTACTCTGGCATCAAACCAAGACCGATCTCACGCAACGTTCTTCCCCACATGACGATCCAATGCCCTGTGTACAAGGAAAGTCTCGAAGAGACCATCATTCCAACCATGGAGTCTGTTATGGCCGCTATTCGAACTTATGAGATGCAGGGAGGCACTGCCAACATTTTTGTTAACGAAGACGGAATGCAGGTCATCTCCCAAGATGAGGCAGAACAGCGCAGGATCTACTACGACGAGCAAAGGATCGGCTGGTGCTCGCGCCCAAAACAAAGGACACCCCCCAAGGCAGGAGGCAAGTTATTCGGCAAAACCGAAAAGGCTCCCGAGTTGGAGCCGGGCCAACAGTACTACGTTCGTGCTGGAAAATTCAAGAAGGCTTCCAACATGAACTATTCGATGGCTGTCAGTGTTCGCATTGAAGACAAGCTTGCCCTGGTCAACCGACATGCGGAGTGGACCCAAGAAGACGAGAACAGGGAATATCAAAGATGTCTAGATGAGGTCATCTACGAGGACGAAGGAAGGACCCAGGCCGGAGGCAATCTCCGTATTGGAGAATACATTTTGATCATCGATTCTGACACTCGTGTCCCTAACGACTGTTTCCTCGACGCCGTAAGCGAAATGGAACAATCGCCTGAAGTGGCCATCATCCAATTCTCCTCCGGTGTCACCAATGTCTCAGACAGCTTCTTCGAAAACGGTATCACCTTCTTCACCAATCTTATCTACACCGCTATCAAGTATGCTGTAGCCAACGGTGATGTTGCACCCTTCGTTGGGCACAACGCCGTTTTGCGCTGGGCAGCTCTCCAGGAGATCTCGTACGAGAAAGACGGTCAGGAGATGTACTGGTCTGAGAACACTGTTTCCGAAGATTTCGACATGGCTCTCCGGTTACAAATTGCAGGATACATTGTTCGCTTCGCTTCTTACACCATGGATGGCTTCAAAGAAGGTGTCTCACTGACCGTTTACGATGAACTGGCTCGATGGGAGAAGTACGCCTACGGATGCAGCGAGTTGATCTTCCACCCCTTCAAGCAATGGTTCACCAAAGGTCCCTTCACGCCTCTGTTCAAAAACTTCATGCGTTCGCCCATGGCATTGCCTTCCAAAATCACCATCATGGCCTACATCGGTACCTACTACGCCATTGGATCAGCCTGGATCTTGACGCTGGCCAATTACATCCTCATTGGATGGTACAACGGCCACCTGGACCACTACTACATCGATTCCTTCAAGATCTACGTTTCCATCATTGTTGTTTTCAATGGTGTTGGCAATCTCGCTTTGGCAGTTCTACGAGTCAGAAACAACGAGCAAGATCTCTTGCCCGCTCTGATCAACAATTTCAAATGGGTCTTCCTGCTGACGATCTTTCTCGGCGGTATCTCTCTCCACGTCAGCCAAGCCATTCTTTGCCATCTGTTCGGGATCAACATCGAATGGGGCGCTACCGCCAAAGAAATCGAAGACATCCCTTTCGGTGAGGAGATCAAGAAAGTGTTCAGGAGGTTCTGGAGGATGTGGCTGTTCTGCATCGTTGTCGCTGCTGGCATGGCTTACCTCTCCCTTGGGGCACCAGCTCTATGGCGGATCAGGATCTTCACCCCAATCTGGCCGCTCTCGACTGTCATCTTTGCCCATTTCGTCCTGCCGATCGTGCTCAACCCTGGTCTGATGCGCTTCAAATGGTAGAATGGAAAAGGGAACAAATGTCTGGCGTTCGGGCGTGCATGGATTTTTATCCACATCGTTTTGCGTGCAGCTTGGTGCTTTTTTTTCGGACACGCTCGCTCATGGATATCCCGTTGCTGTTGGCGTTGTGGGCTTCCTCGTTGGTGACGAAAGCAACATGTCAGTTATCGATGAACATAGAGTTATAGAGTATTATGGTTCGTAATATCTAATCAAAAGAAGCATGAGACTTCGACTTCATCTTCACCGTTTCCTGCCTCGAAACCTTTGCCCGATGCCACAACCAGCGTGACTTCAACTCCGTATGACAGGCAAGCTGTCATAAGTAGTGACCGTCTCAAGGCTTGACCCAAAGTTTGGGTACCAAGCCGAGAGTATCTGCTGTCGTTACATGGCTTTAGCTCAGACAGGGCCTTGAGCCAAAGGAAATGTGCTCCCGTCATTGCGAGCTGCAGAGCATCCGGGAGATCTTCGGTCGAGCATCTAGCGAGTATTTACAATCACGTTCTTTACTTCAGACCTTTGCGCGCCGAACACTACCTGAAGATTGATTCCAGAGAATGCGCATATGGGTGATGAGAAAGCTCAGCGCCTTGATGACGCGTTGTCGTCTCTCGTGGATATATTAGTCCCCGCCCTACTGGACGAAGATGAAGCTGCGGCAGACGAAAGACACGACGATGCCTTGGAGCTGGCTAGGAATATCATTGACAAGTGCGTTACCCGCGAATGACCGTACAAATATTGACTGACTTTTCCTTTGTAGTCAGGGCAGCCCTGCGGTAGTCTCAGACGTCAATCATGCCGCTGAGCTGATCAGGAAGAAATGTAAGCTCCTCCCCTCCAATGCCCCGCCTTGACACAAGCAGGCTGACCCATTTTGAAGTACGCCGCGACAACGACTCTCCGGACAAAGAAGTTCAATTTTCGAATCTCTATGCTCGACTCCTCACACAGCCGGTGTTGTCGCAGAAATGGTCAATACTATACCTTTTACATCAATTGGCAGATTCAGATCCAGATGGTGGAGGGCCCACTTTGGACGACCTGCGTCCCAAAAGTCGGGACACGGGGATGGGAAGGCATGACGATGGTCAGGATCAGCAGGTGTACGAGGATGCGTTTGCGACGGCTGGGCTTCCGAGGCTGCCGCCACCATTGCGTGAGAGCGGGTCAACAAGCAGGTCGAACAATGCGGGACCTGCTGAGCGGAGGGGCTACCAGAGGCCGAGCCGGAAGACTGAGAAGGTTGAAGAAAGCGGTCCCGAGATAGAAAAAAGCCATTCGATGGGCCCATCCGAGTCTGCTCTACTGCGCGACCTCCCTTACACCCTCCAAGGCTTATCGTCTACCAATCTGCCCTTTACGTCTTTGACCACTCTCGATCTCCCACGAAATCTACCGATACCGATCATATCCCTTCTACATACTTTGGCCGAACCGTCGTTACTATACCGAAGTCTCTCAGCCTTCGTAGATTCACGAGACGAAGGGCTGATAGGCCAGAGCTTGCGGTCTGCAATTGGCAAAGAACTACGTTCTTATCTCGGCTTGATCTCGACATTGGAGGGCGAAATACGGCGAGCGATAATATCTCTGGACAATAATGAGCAGCAAGGCCGAGTTGGGAAAGCTGGTGTTACGCTGAAGAGATGTGTTGTTTGGACGAGAGAAGCTACGATGGGTTTACGATTGATGAGTCTTATGGTCGAAGAGGCCAAGAGCAGGAAGGGAGGCCAACTGATCTCGATGATTCATTCCTTCTCTACGCATCACGGCGATCCTTTTGTGGGCGCTTTTGCAGAGCGGATGCTTTCTCATGTGACACGACCTTTCTACGACATGCTACGACAATGGATATATGACGGAGAGCTTTCTGATCCTTATCACGAGTTCTTTGTTACCGAGCAGGATGCTCATGAACAGGGGGAGGACCCTCGAAGAGCTCCTGCGACTAGTGTGTGGGAAGAGAAATACAAGTTGGATGAGACGATGATACCCAGTATTGTCACCGAGGATTTTGCGAAGAAGGTCTTCCTCATAGGAAAGAGCTTGAACTTCATCCGCTACGGCTGCGGCGACTCTGCTTGGGTAGAAGCATACTGCAAAGAAGCCTCAAAAGAGCTGCGGTACGGCGATACCGCTACATTGGAAACATCGATCGATAAAGCATACAAGGCCACCATGGCCCGGCTGATATACCTCATGGACAACAAATTCCGACTTTTTGAACATCTGAACGCCTTGAAACGATACCTCCTCCTCGGCCAAGGCGATTTCATCGCTCTCCTCATGGAGTCCCTCTCAACAAACCTCGACAGCCCAGCCGGCTCTCAATACCGCCACACCCTCACAGCTCAACTAGAACACGCGATCCGGGGCTCCAACGCCCAATTCGACTCCCCGGACATCCTCCGCCGCCTCGACGCCCGCCTTACAGAAATGGAAAAGGGAGACACAGGCTGGGATGTCTTTACTCTCGAATACAAAGTCGACGCCCCAGTAGACGTCATCATAACTCCCTGGGCGAACCGGCAGTATCTCAAAATCTTCAATCTCCTTTGGCGCGTCAAACGAGTGGAATTCGCACTTGGCAGCACTTGGCGACGCTGCATGACGGGCGCTCGTGGCGTCCTGGCAGTCGTCGATGCGAAGATGAGCAGAGATTGGAAAACAGCAAGATGTTGTATAGCAGAGATGATCCATTTCGTTAATCAGCTGCAGTACTACATCCTCTTTGAAGTCATCGAAGCATCTTGGGACCAATTGCACGCAGCAATCCACAAACAAGATTGCACACTCGACGATCTAATAGAAGCACATACTAAATACTTGAAAGCCATCACGCACAAAGGTCTCCTTGGCTCCGTCCGTCACAACAGCGTCACCGGCCACCGCGAAGACCTCTTCACGGCCCAATTACACGAACTACTGAAAATCATGCTGGCGTATAAAGACGCAGTAGATGGCCTCTACTCCTTCTCCGTCGCCGAATTCACCCGCCGGCAGGAACTGGCCGCGAAGATCGAGACGCGGACCGCGCAGGGCAAATGGGGCCTGACCGAAAAAGACGACGAGGAGCTCGCCTCCCCCATCACAGCCAACAGAGCAGCACAGCAAGCGGACCGTGCCGACTGCCCCTTCCCCGTCGCCGCCCTCGGCCTCACCGCAAGCGGCGGAGACGACGCCATGCTGCCTGCCATTCGCAAGCGCTTGCAGGATCTGAGTGCGGATTTCAAGACGAGGGTCAACAATTTGCTGGGGGATCTGCTGGTGCAGCCGGACGTGGACATGAAGTTCTTGGCCGTGGTGATGAATTTCAACGACGTCTACGCGCCGCGGAAGAGGAGGAGGGAGGGGCACAGGGGGGAGAAGAAGACGCCGGGGCAGGCGGAGGCGGGGAGGCGGGAGAATGCGGAGGAGAAGGGCAAGGGCAAAGAGGGTGGAGGATCTTTCGCTGCGGCGGCGAAGGGGGCGGAGAAGGGGACGAGGGTGCCTGCGAAGTAGTCGAGGTGGGGGGGTTGTTATGCCTGGACGCAATCGTCAGCGTTACCCGTGGCTCTGGAAGCTTAGGGTCTGCATTCGGCAGTGCCATGTCATGCCTCATGACCGGTGTGTAAATCTGATATGGGACCACTTGTTGCCACACGATCTTTTCCCAAACGTATGCACCGAGCTATGCGGCCCTTGCTCTTCCACCGGTCACGATGCACATCCGACCCGTTTCAGTCCGAATCCGAGTCTCCGCTCGAGCTCGTGCCGGAGACGGATCCGGAACTTGACGTCTCAACGTCCCTGGACTCTTCAGCGCCATCCTTCTTCTTCTTCTTCGACAACGACCCCGTCTTCTGCGCCTTCTCTTCCTCGTCACTGCCCTCACTGCTGCTGCTGCTGCTCTCGCTGCTGCTTTCGTCATCATCCGGCACTCCCGTCCTCCTCTTGTGCTTGCGCTTTCTTTTTGGCTTCATGCCACGGGCACCATTGCCGACATCGGGCGTCTGAACCCCATGGACTCCGCTGGCTCCATCAGCCCGTCCGACACCATTTGCACCGCCAAATCCATTCACCCTGTCCGTCCCAGCAGCCTGCGCAGCCCCATCCTCGCCAAAAACCACCTTCTTCCCCCGGCTAGCCCTCGCGATGCCTCCTGCATCAATCACTTCGACCCCACCCATCCCCATTCCGACTCCTCTTCCCACTCTTGGTGCAGGTCCGGGATCCCGTGCGGCCTGCGCGATTTGCTCAAATCCAGAGTTTGTTTGACGTCCACCGTTGCCTCCAGAAGTATTCTGCTGCGTTACTGCAACACTTTCATTCTCTGCAGCTTCTTCCTCCCTTCCGACATTCCACAAAACGATCTCCGCCCTCCTTCTCTTGCGGATCCGCTCCTCCCATTCTTCTTTGTCGCCTAAGAGTTCCCAGTCGCGCTCTTCGCGCTCTTCTTCTTTTTCTTTCAATGCCTGTTTGATTCTAGCAACCGCGGCTTCATAATCACGACGACGGCGCGCGTTGCATTGCGCAACCGTCTCGTTATCCATCCTTTCGGTTTCCGAAGGCTCAGATGCTAGCCACTTCTCGTCCTCTCCACAGATTGCGAGCGCTTCTTTTCGAATTCGTGAGCGCGCTGTGGTGCCTTTGAGGCCGCCGATGTAGGGGAGGAGGGCGGAGTCGTAATATGAAGGGATATGTGTGAGGGAGAAGAGGTGTTTGAGGATTTGATTTTGGTGAAGTTTGGAAAACTTCCAGGTTTGAGGGGATGTGTGGTGGGTGGTGAGGTAGGTGAGTACGGGATCGAAACGTGAGGGACCAGGGCCTGATGGGGTCTTGGAAAGTCTGGGTTTGGGTTTCTTTGTGGGTTTCTTTTTGTCTTTAGAGATTGATTCTGAATTTGAGGTTGAAGTGGATACGAAAGGTGAAGCCGACTCTGGTGTAGGGACAACTGAAGGTACGATTGACCTGAGCGCTGGACTGACAGTCGAAGGGTCGAATGAAGGATCGGTAGCTATCTGCTTTGCAATCCAGGCTTTGTAGAGGCCTTTGACACTGTCACCGTCTTTAGTCTTAGTGTCTGGGGTGAATGAGACGGATTTCCCTTTTGAGGCAGGAGTAGTCTTCAATGCAGGTGGAGGCGAGAGTTCCTGCTCATGAGTACCACCAAGTTTGCCATTGATTGATAAGGCAGATACGTCCAATTTCGCTTTCGCTTTCTTGGTTTTCTTCGAGGGTTTTTCAGCGTTGGTAGGCTCATTGGAAGATTTGTAATTGCCATTGACGGTTTCTGCAGAGTTCTCGGTGCTAGGTCTTGACTTCTTGATCTTCTCCCTAAGCTTATCCTCATCTTGAGCCTCGTGAGACGTCCCATTGCCGTTGACCGCTTCTCCGGCCTCTTCTGCTCTCCATTTCGACTCTTTGAGCTTTTTGGCAGGCCTTTCCAAAGGCGCGTCCTCTACCACAGCTTCTTCTCCCGCAGGTGCCTTGCGCTTCCTGCGGTCAACAGTGCCGTTTTGGCTAGGTTGGGTATTTTCAGGCTCTTCTTTGGCATACTTGAGTTTCAGACCGAGCTTTTTCCACGCAGGCACGTGCTTGTGGATTGGCTCAGAGATGCGAGACATGGTGGGCGTTGGAGGAGCTGCTTGCCCACGAGAGGTTTGGACATGGGATTCAGAATTTCAGTGCCTCTATACCCGATGCTGGCGCGTTATTAATTGCAGCAAGCAGCTGTCAAAAAAATGTGCAAAGCTTCGGAGCTTGCCAACGGAACGATTCCGCCTAGGAGACACCTGGAGCCCTTGAGCCCTAATCAAATTGTTTGCTCTGGGGTTGATACCAAATATTGCACTTTCAGGAGCGGGGGCCGTCATGTAAGACATTGCAGGTATTATTATATCTACAAAAGTGAGAACCCTGCTGAGCAATTATTACCATACCAGCATCCACGTCTATCGCTGCAGCCTCATCGATGCATATGCCGCTCAAACGCCCATCATAGGTATCGCTAACGCCCAGTCATAATACTATCCCAGACGTATCTACTTGCCAATGACCCTCTCGTAATTTTCATGCTTGACTGCCCCTCCGCTCATTGATGTCCGCACGTTCCTCTTGAAGCCTTCCCGATTCGACCGCAGGTCCTCCGCCGCCTCTTTGTTCAAGGGATCCGAAGCGTTGGGTTCGAGGAAGAGGAACTGTAGACCACAGCTATTAGCCATGGTCCAATATTCTATCCCTTACCCTACTCTGTGCTCGCAGATTCCCTTGTAACCTGTCCCACCCCAGACGTAGACGTACCTGCAACCCAACAATAACAGCATTCAAGTTCAACACAGGCTTCCAGTCCTCCCTCAGGATATTCAAGCACACGTTGCCCTCCAGATCAATATTTGGATGATAAATCTTCTGCGTGCATTTCACCTTCGGCGGGTCGTGAGGGAAGTTCTGGTTGATGGCGAAGTTAAAGTGGAAGCTGCCGCCTTTGTACATTCCTTCGTCCGGCTCGATGGTCAGGGTGAAGTTCAGGATATCGTCGGGGTTGGGAAAGGAGGTTTTCATCGTGCGGCCCAGGGTGCCTTCGAGTTCTGCAAGGTCTGAGGGTAGGGGGAGGATCAGCCAGGTTGTTCCACAGAACGAGCATAAGGGGCATATCATAGCCGTACCTTTCTGTACTCGTAGTTGAGCTGCTGTCACCTTCTTCTTCTTTGGCCCCGCTCCCTCAGCATTCGCATCCTTCTGCTGCTGTTGTTTCTGCGGTCATATGTCAGGCCGGTGCTACAGGGTATATCCTTACCAAGGCTGGGCCGCAGCGTCCGTCTGTAGATGTAGAGACTCACCATAGACCATATTTTGAGCATCCTTGCGACTGTAGAGGTGTGTACTGTCCAGTCCGAGTCGTGGTTGAAAAAGGGAAGGCTCGAAACGCCGGTATCAGGGTTGACGAGTTGTTCAGGTTGTCGGAGGTGGGTTATATGTCAAAGGCTATAATGTGTATTTAATCGCGAAAAGCCATCCGCCACGCGATCTGACTACTAGCTTCAAAGATGCCTACGAGATGAGAAAATATTTCCTAACGCATTTCCTAAAATTGAAGCGTCGACACAGCTATTCGCGTGATTGCCATATCGCTTTTGATAGATATCGACGTCTGGATTTCATTACACGCAAAGTCAATTTACAGACGCCGTATTCCTCATGCAGCCAACAATAGGGCACCGCTGGTAATCCAATATGCACGCGTACCAATGCTTCGATAGTCATCAACAATGTTCTATCTACCTCCGGTTGAAACAGCACAGCAAGCCCGACTTGCCTAGGAACCAGCAGCATCCGATGAAGCGTATCACGGAGAGGGCAGCTGTGGACCAGAGCAGGGCTCGGAAGAAATTCGACGTCCTGACTGTTGAACTGTTCTGTAAGCTCTCGTCAGCAACATTCAAGCATTAAAAAAGGACGCGACATCGTACCGAGAGCCCTAGAGAAGTCAAATCGTTACTCGTAATACCAACAGCAAGTAAAGCGTTCGAGAAGATCCATGCCGTGACCAATCTTGTTCTGAAGCTCTTGTACGAATCCTCCAAGGTCTTCTTCTCGATGATCACCGGTGGGTGGAATTCGGCCAATGCACGCTTGACCGTTATCTCGAATTGGCTATCGATATCCGCTTGAGGTTTGTCGGGCTCTTCGATAATGGCGGCTTTACCGTCTCCTGTCTTTGTGGTTTGAGCTGATGGCAGAACGTCGGCCTTATCAGAACCTTTGGTTCCCCACGACACGTCATGCCAATTGCTGAAGGCGTAGACATTGAGGATGTTGATGTAGGACGACATGAGGCAAAGATACTGTGGGAATGAGGTGATCATGTGCCACGGATCCAGGTATATGAAGGAAGCCACAAAGTACAAACCAAAGGTAGCTGCCAAAGCAATAAGGATGATGCCTGAACTCGACGAGGAAAAGAAAGTCTTGAAGAACTCATCAAGACCATTGTGTGTCTCGATTTCCGTTTCGTTGTTACCAGAGAGAGCTCGGACCACCAAATACATTGACAGTATCACAATATAGACCTGGATGATACCGAAGACTAGGAAAGACATGATGTATGTCCATCTCGATCTATATGTATTGTCAGCGAAGTGTTGCAAGGGCAATTGAAATTTACCTACCCTTTGGGCCGATTCCCCAGTGCTAGGATGAACTGCAGAAGGACACAGCCGAGATAGAGATATTGCAGCACTGTATTAACGACCGGTGTAACATGGTTGCCAAAGGGGAAAGCTTTGTTTTCGTTCGCTGCGCCTGGCTTTCCGACGAGATCCATGATGACACTGGTCGTGAGCCAGAACGAAGCTAGAAAATGTGTTAGATCTCTAACTCGTGGTTGGATACTTAAAATTACTAACCGATCGAGAACCATGAGAGAAACACTGAAAAAATGTTGTATAGCAATTGAATATGAAAAAAGAACATGCGCACGATGTTATGACTGCTTTTATACATCCTTCCGAAATGCATCAGTGAGTAGATACTGGCTGCAAAGGAGCCGTTGAGCCATCTTCGGCGTTGCCCGATGAACTCTGGAGCACCTTCAGGAACGTCGGTCTCGCCCTTTGAGGCCTTTACGTAGGTCAAGTGCCACTTCGATCCGGCTTTGGCGACAAGTTCGAAACACAGAATCCGATCCTCGGCCAAGAACATGTTCTTCTTGAAGATGTTCATATTCTCAATGCCTTTACCCGCATTGATCTTTGCGGCGGTGTGGTCACCATGGAAATACTGGTCGAGAGGGCGTCCCATGATAGCACGGAATCGGTACGCAGAGAACGCTCCCGGAAGAACGCTGACGTACCCAAAGGAGCTTTCCAGCGGTTTGTCCAGGATATTGCTGATCTTGTACTCAAAGTTCTGGGCTGCCACAAGCGGATTCAGAAGGTTTCTCCATCCTTTACCCAACATAGCGTGGATCTCTCCGCAAGCACCACCAAGATCTTTGTCATTATAGAAAGCTTCCCACAGCGCAAGGAGAGATTTTGGCCCTGGCTTTGTCCCGGCGTCTAGAAGAATGCAGACTTCCGGGTTCAATATCTTACCAAAAGCGTTGAATAGCCATCGATGAGAGTTGATTTTCTTGCTATTCTTCTGTTTGAGACAAAAGATCATTTGTACTGGAGGAAGCGTAGTGGGGCCGTCGTCCTGGGGTTGTATAAGTTTCTGATTGGGCGTGACCGAAAGTTGGGTAGTGTACTCGAAAACATGAGCTGTGGTTTCTTTGCCGTCGACGTCTTTCTTCATGACACCATCTTGGTAGATGCCAACTGTTGCCAGGACATCCAAAGTCTCCTTGTCGCAGGGATCGATCCCATCGAAGACCAGACACACGACAATCTTTTGCCAAGCAGGGCCTCCCTTATTCCAGAACTCTGTCTTCTTGATGTTGACAATGTCGCGGACATTTTGCATGACACCATGAAGGGTACGCGCAGTCAATACTTTGTCTTCATTGTAGTATGTGATGGCAATGAGGAGTTCGGTGTGGCGGTTGTACATGGCCGGCCTAAGATTATAGCCATTCTTGAGCGTGAATTCATTGGGATCGCAAGTTGCAGCAGTGTCTGAAAATAATTAGCGACAGCATATTCCTGGGCTCACATTCAGCGTACATCTCAGATGTGTGAATTCTTCACTGCCTCCCTCTAGATCACTCCTGTACTTCGCCTGAATAGCGTTCTGGATAGCACTAGGTACTGGATAGTCCACACTCAGGACCGAGCCCTGAACAAGTTTCACTTTACGAGTCGCGTATCGCCTCAACCCATTTGCTCCAGGTGCTTGCCTCTGCCTCCATGCTTCCGTGGAGCTGGTGTCACTTCTCTCGTATGGAGACGGCGCTCGCCCAGGCACGCCAAATGCCGCTGTGGGGTCATCGAGAGTCGAGCTGTAGCCATCTCCGTGATACCCGTTGTAAGGAGGTGCTTGTGACTTGTGATCCCCAACATATGATTCCGTCAGAGTGTAGTTCGAAGCAGGTCTGATAGGGGGAGTTGCGATCCCGGAGTGAGGCTCATCGAATGGCCCATTGAAGGGCCCCTGGCCGTGGGCTAAGAGGGCTCGTTCATCTTCGTCATCAGAACCCTCGTGTGGAGGCAGATGATATTGCTGTGTCGATTGTTAGCGAAGGGTCGCAAAACTTGGAGACACAATACTAACGCTGCCGGAGGGCAGGTCGTGCAACCGGTGGTCCTCTTCATAGCCCCCAGCTCCCGGAGATGCTTGGTAGGCCATTCAGGCGTATTGTGATCGAGAGCAGGAGTGAATTGAGGGCGGCCGCTGTGGTAGAAGGATGATGGAAGCGTTGGAGGGCAAAACTAGGAGTGCGTAGCGTTTTTGGATGGAGTGAAGTAGAATGTCAATACCTGTTTACAGCCGCCAGGGCTTGAGGATGCAGTGCTCAGAGAGAGTAGCGTGTATGGCCGTCTTTGCATGTATCATCGAACCTTCCAAGAGGCCTTTCGCTGTCACTTTTTGGAACGATGTTGGTGTAGAAGAATGTACGAAAGCAGAGATCAGGGGGGGTCTGCTTGGCTTTGTTGCTGACCGGGATTGTTTTCTCCAGGTGTGGCTTTACCAATCAAATCCGACATCCGCCACAGCACGCACAGTGAAAGTTGAGGACACGCAAGAAACACGACAATGCTTCCTGCAGATTGAAGAAGTGAATTTTTCTGAAGGTCAACGCAGAGTGAAGACCCTTGCAGAACGATTATTCAATCCGCCGATATCTGAGTATCTTTTCTTTGTTCTCCTCTCAGAATTTTGCTGTGGCGCTCTCATGTCTCTGAATTCCAAAATTAGCAACACGAAGTTCCGAGCCTCCTTTACGGAATCATGTCCACCAACGGGCTGTGTGCTTGCGTCCAAGACTCCTCCGGGTATTCACAGCTGGACTCAATAGGTTATTTTGAGTCCCAGTCGCCGTGCTGACACGTCGTTGCAGAGCTTCGGTAACGAGGCTCACTACGCCTAAAGAAATGCCAGCGTTTGCCATAGATGAGATTAGTACCTTATATCTTGCTTCTCCTGCCGTATACTTTCTCAGTGCCATCGTGTACGGCATAGTAGGCTTTATCTTGCCTCCACCTCTCCAAAATCTAGACCCTCGGCTTTGTTGTTCATGAGCCCGTTGTCTATCTACGCTTCGAGCAAAATTGCACCCTACAGCTGATTGTTCGTTTGGGGAAATACTAAGGGCCTAGGTAGAATCCCAAGGCTATTGAGAGTAAGGTAAAGAATCAAATCGATTGGACGGCGAGAATACTCCAGATGATGCACAAGCTTTATTATCTGCTGTTTTTCATGCACGCATGCAGGGGACGTAAGATTGCAGAAAGCGATACCTGAGCCTCCTGGGCCAAGCCTGCATACGGAGTATTGCTGGTCTGATATGCAGATGTAGCTCAAGCCAGGTTATGATCAGACCCACGTGTCGTTCAGGTGCGCTTAATATGATGGTACTGAGACTCAATTGCTTTGATCGTCTACGCTCATCGCCCGAGATGCAACGAGTCGGCTTAAATCCTCATATGCGGATCGAGCGTGTGCAATGATACGGTAACGCTCAAGCATCCTGGATAGCTTCTGGATTGGGATTCCTGCGTCTTGAGTACCTAAAGTAAGTGAATCGGTGCGGAGAAAACTGATATGGTAGCCGTTATCGGGGCGGTTATAATATGCGTAACCGTTGCGCTTATAGAAGGCGGTGAATTAAGCACCGAATCACGAGCAAGGCTAAGATGTATGCGGGATGAAATTTGACTTGGTTGGCTTCTTGTCAGGCTTATTATTATCTTATGGGACAAAAAAGATGAAGATGAGGTAGGAGGGAAAGTGGAAGGAAGATCTACCTATCCTTCATTATAATTAGTGCAAGGACTTCGTAATTTCCGCTCACAGCCCACATATGTTTATTACCTTACTACACCAGCTACTTACTCTAACTTTTACACCAAATTTAGGGCAAAATGGCAAAATGGCAAATTGAGTCCTAAAACTCTGAAAGGTAAAACTCTCGCCCAATCAAAACTACTCGCTGTCTGCTCCCTTGTCCCGTCCCAAAAAGATCGTCCTAAGATTATCCCCTCCCCTCTCCCCCAGGGCCCCAACTCCTCCAGCTCTGTCAGCAACCTGCCACAATCAACTTACCACCATCCATTCAAGCCAAAACCCTTACACTCCGCTGTCGACTGAACACCGCCAAGATCGCGCCATGCAAGGTCCAACAATTCCATCGCAGTGAGAAAGGGAGCTGCTCCGCCTTGAATCAGGCTATTTCACTTGCGCCCGTCAAATTACGCCGCAAATCAAATTCACAACACCTCGACCATAACGAAGCGCCCAAGGGAAAAGGGCAAAGGGAAACGCAGTAGGCCGGCAACTGACAGTCATTCGTTTACATCACGTCGGAGTCATCGCATTCTTTGTTCGGGACCATCTCGAACTAATCTTTCACCCTCTGAGTCCTTTGTTCTTTCCCGTTAAGAATCTCACCAACCAACCAACCAACCATACCGAGACAGTCTTCTGCAACCACCCTCTACAGGGCCAGACACTCTTTTAATCAAATTCCGGCCGTACGCATCTCAAGCCCTGACTGCTGGTCCACGGAGCGACTGCCTTGGAACGACTGGCTGTTAGGCCTCGTGGATGATAACAAGCCCCTCCTGGGCTCCTTTCCCTTTTTCGACTTTATACGTCTCCCACCAACGCAAAGATGGACCTCCATGGTCTCGGCCGATATGGTAAGCACTGACAACATGTCACTATCAGGATATAATGCTGACGCTTTCTATATAGAAGTGGATTTCAATGCACCTCACCTTTTCCGACGTTGCGCCACCTGCCCTCCTGAACCTCCACCATGTCCATCATGTGCTTCGAACGAAGTCTGTTCTCTTTTCGCTGGAGGCTGCAATTCATGTGCTGTGACCATGTGCACGAGAATGGTAGCTCAGCCTACATCAGCGCCATCAAGCTCTGGGCCAGCTGCGGGTCCTATAGCAGGAGGCGTCATCGGAGGTGTCGCTGTTGTATGCTTGATGACTTTCCTGGTGTGGAGATTCTGCATCAAGAATAGAAGGGTCCGTTTTGTAGAAAACGACTGGCAAGACGAGGAATCCACGGAGAAGAGTAGAGACGAATTTGGCATGCAAAGGGATGCTCGTGCCTCGGTACATTCAGTTCGCTCGATAGCATCGACCGTCCTTACCAGAGCTTCCAACGTCATCCAAATAGCCTACATACCAGGAGTCACCAACCGATCCGTTGTTTCCACACCAGACCTTGTCCCACCGGTACCACCAATACCAGCCTTCTCTCCGGCAGGGACTCCACAGCCTCATCAACAGGACCAACACTTCTTCATGCCTAGCGACCTCCGCGACTCCACTTATTCAGACTATACAGTCGATAGGACGTCTTACGCCAGATCGAGCATAGCCCCAAGCATGCCTCGAGGTAGCTTCCAGTCGACGGCTTATCGAGGTAGTGCTGTCGTCAACGCTATACCTGCTCAAACGGCTATCTGTGGTAAAGCAAATCCTGTCGCTGTCAAGTCAAATGGCAAGAATAGCCCTGTTGAATCGAGATCCTCCACTCCGCCTCTTCCCATAATGGATCGCAAGCGGCACGACCTTTTAAAGACGAACACCACTAGCCCGATAGTCGCTCGACTGGGTGTTCCCAAAGCCGTGCACGTCACAAAATCTCAGCAGAACAACATTCCTGTTGCCGCAAACCCTAGTCCTGTTCCCAGTGACAGATCGAATAGGTCTCCGACCAAATTAGAGCGGCACGCTTCAGTGGCAAGTTCTAGGCATAATCCTGACTCGTCAACCTTTGATGATGCCTCTAGCAGCGACGAAGACTCACCTGCAGACCAAAGTCTGATGGGCCACGAAAAGCTACCTCAATTCGCCAAGACCGCGTCGCCCTCATCCAGATCGATAGATCCTCCTGTTCGGTCTCCATCATCAGCACCTGACCTAAGACATTCCCCAGCCCTGATATCATCTTCCTCTTCACCAGACAGCCAAGCCCGCCATTTTGTGAGCAAGGAGCAAAAGAAGAAACACAAACGATCCGGAAGTCTGAATCAGATAATTGAGGAGGCCACCAGGCGAGCCTCTAGAGAGCCCAGACATGGCGGTCTGGGTAGTATGGGAAACATCATGACCGCCTGGACCGGAAGAGATGCTAGGGGGGAAGGTCCATTCTCAGACGCGAACGCCGCGAGGACACCTTGAGATTCTGGACTTTTCGACTTTCTTCTTATATACCTTGCAGCGTTTCTAACTCATGTCGCGACTAGGGAGGCAACTACAAAATCGTTTGGCGTATTGGATACGGCTGTGACAGCCAGGGGCGGACTTCTTCGATACGGAAAATATTTAGGGTGTGACTTGGAGGCGTTTTATGTTTACACAGTCCTGCGGACATGTTCAAGGGCCGTCATGCCTTTGGATGATCTATATATCGCAAAACTGAGACACTTTTCAAACAAGTCATCCTCGTTATGCAACGTTTCAGCGTTGAGATTCTTTGTGTTTCATTGCTTTGGGGCGGTCACTTTTGAGGCAATCGCAATTGTTTCGCCTCACAGAACTTACTTACATCATCTCTCACAGTTTCTGATGCATACGATGCAATCTCATCGACTCCTCCTTGGTTCCATCTTCCGTGGATCTGCTCGAGTGAGTGGATGGGACCATCTGCCACAATGTCGGCGCCGAATTCTTCACACCTTGAACTTTCAAGCGTGAATTGCCTGGCCACAGCACCTTCCCCACACATCCTCGGTATAAATGCTCACCAGATCCCAGATTCTACTACTCACAAATAAGACATTCCTTCACAGTGCATCACGATTTCTGACGACTTCCATGACCAACAATTTCGAGAGCGGCATTACTTTCTTTCCTGAATATACCTCGTCGTCTACTGCTGCTCTGCGGATCCGGAGGATAATACAACATCTGTTGGGAACTTTTCGCCATCACTGCACTGCCAGGAGGCCGTTGAACGGCCCCAAATCTCTTCCCGGACAGTCCTCTGCTGCTACTACGCTTTGCGAAACAACGGCCTATCTCGCCTTTTCTTATCTTGCTATAGCCTCAGATCACAGCGCTCCGACGTCTTGACGACGCAGTCCTCAGGTGCCACCTAGCTATTGTTTCTTACCACAATTTCCCACTGATTGCGACTGTGCTGGGAACAGTCCGTAGTCGCTGCGACTTCTCAGCTCCTGTTGCACCAGTGCAAACGGCCTCTGGCTACACACAACGCTCGAATCTATAGGTCCGACCCTTATTTGGAGGACTCGTCAACCTACGGCCCAAGCTCCCCAAGCAACCTCGATCACCGGCTGGCCGCAAGCATCTACTCTCAACAGCTTCTCCAGATCTCATCATTAACATTCGCCTAGCTTCCTACATCGGCATCAGTAGCCAATACGCCAGGAGCGGTATGGAAGATCAGAAGGCGGTTCACTCGGATAGGGAAGTGCTTCCACAAAAACCTACACAATGGAGTACCCCAGACGACAGACCTTTGCCAAGTTCTTTCCCGCACGCCAATGATCTGACCGATACGGACGATGACCCATCGGCCATGAAGTCCGTCCTCAGCATCGAGAAGTTCGTCCTTAGCATCGACGGCGGCGGGATCCGAGGATACAGCTCTCTCGTCATACTGCAGGCACTCATGGAAGAAGTTGGAAAGATTGAGCGAGCACGCGACCCGAAGGCAACTTCCAGCATCTTTTCGTCGGTTCTTGGACCTCTAGACGATGAGATTTGCGCCGCCCCAACCCCTAATGCCATGCCGAAATCTGAATATTGGCCTTGTCATTACTTCGATTACATAGCCGGTACAGGTACCGGAGGTGTGATCGCTATGATGTTAGGCAGGTACAGGATGAGTGTCCCTGAAGCAATGGAGAGATACAGAGACATGTATGCTACGGTCGTCAAGCAACAGCCCGTATCACCTTTGCCAAAACATCGATTGCGGAAGTCTGTCTTCCTAAGCATTCACAAGGGGCCACGACGGTCAAATCCCCCGGCAATGAAGCTGGTCCCAAATTTCCCAAGTCCCAATGAGGATCAGGTGCATCTCCAGTCAGACCCTAACAGATGTCGTACAATCGTCTGTGGCTGTGGTGCCAAACTGCAACCTTTTCGATCTTACGCCAATCCTAGCCCTCCGAGATTTGTCAATGATATTCTTGTGCAATGTGTAGATGCAGAACGGTCTCGTGAATCATACTGCAACGCCAAGCACTTTTACAACAACCCAAGTCGCACGGTTCTAGCAATGGTATCTCGCACGGTACGAAAAGAAATATCTCACACCTTGCTAGAAGAGCTATCTGGCACGGTACGAAAAGAAATTTCTCGCACGTTGCTAGAAAAGGTCTCTGGCATGGTTCAAAAAGAGGTATCCCGCATGACGCGAAAAGGGGTGTCTCCCACGATACTAGACGAGGGATCTCGCACAGTACGGGAAGAGGTTTCTCACACGTTGCTAGAAGAGATATTCGGCATGGTGCAAAAAGAGGTATATCGCGTAATGCGAAAAGGGGTATCTCCCACGTTGGTAAAGGAGATATCTCGCACGGTGCTGGAAGAGATATCTGGCATGGTGCAAAAAGAGGTATCTTGCATGATGCGAGAAGAGGTATCTCGCACGGCGCTAGACCGGGTATCTCGCACGATCCGAGATACGATTTCTCACACGTTGGTAAAGGAGATATCTCGCACAATGCTTGAAGACATATACTCATTACCCAATCATGACTTCTCTGGAAAGGACGGTATCCATCTACTGAGCATCGGCGGTTCAATCAATCAGCCTGTCGACCCCAGAGCCGACAAATTGCAACATCAGATGAGCACTCAAATCCAACGGGTCCACGAAGAACAACTAACCTCGTCCCGGTACCTCAACCCCGCCCACTACTGCCGACTCGACGTATCCGGCACCGACCTTCAAGACATCGGTGTGAACGGAAGGGAACCCGAAAGTCCAGACCATCGAACCTTTGGCCGAATCGAAGCATCAACCAACACCTACCTCCGAAACCAAGTCACGGCGGACAACCTCCACAACTTTGCCGCAGCTCTGGTCGACGGGCGAAGGCTTCGGGCCCGGACCTTGCAGTGGGAGCGCTGGGCCCTGGGCGTCGTCTACCGGTGTCCCGAACCCGGGTGCGAAGCATGGGGCGAGCGGTTCGCCGACCGGCTCGGGTTCTGGACCCATATGTTGATGGCGCACGGTGCGAGGCATGCGTACTACGACCCGGCCACGAGGAAAGAGTATGAAGCGATGGGTCGGACGAGGGAGGGGAAGGTGAACACGGAGATTGACTGCGGTGAGATTTTGGACACGGGAGCCAAAATGAAGGATCTGAAAGAGCGTGTCGCGGCGGCGAAGAGGAAGAGGGAGCAGGATTTGAGGCACTTGGCGAACAAGGCGGTGGAGGGGTCGTTGGTGGAGGATTGGATACGGGCTGGAGGATAGATGTATGAGAGGATAATGGGCCGGGACCGGCCAGGCTTAAGGGGGGTCTGCTGGACATTGCTGGCACTTTGACCTCGTACAGACTTTTGAGATTTCACACCATTGCACGCACGGTGATACTACATGTCTCAAGCCGAAGAACCTTACACGTTCGATCGCTCTCCATCTGGCTTGAGGAGGAAGTCGGTCCTGCCTTGTTCCTACTCGTGGTCTTCGACTGCGCGGTACAATGTCATGGTCCAACTTTTGTCTCTCATCTTCAAGTACCTCGTCGACTGCGATCTTTTGGGACGGAGAGTTCTCCCTCGGGCAAGGTGTCCGGAAAACGGTGGCAATCTGGGACGCTGAATATTCTTGGGCCCTGACGTCGATTGGGGCAATCTTTCGCTCTTGACGGCGGGCTAGGATTGCTTCGGGGAGAGCGTTCGGTGACGGAAAGGCTCGTTGTCGATGTTATTGCTCCGGTTGATCGGTTAGGAACCCGTGTCATCTCCACTGCCACTTTTTCTGGCACCTTGCCTGCCCTGTAGCGTTCAACAGCTAGATCGCAATGGTTCGCATGTAGTGATATGCTGGAGGAGGAATATCATAAAATCATAGGTAGCGTCAAAACTATCTCCGCTATGCTAAAGTCGATCCTTCGCGTCTCCCTTAAGCTTTCATTTCCTCTTCTGCCACATAGTGCAGATATGCACCCAAGAGCTTTGTCCCCTCGATGTAATTCCTTCGGTCCAACTTCTCGTTGATACTGTGCGCAGCATCCGTCGAGCTACCCATGGGGAGCAGCAAGACGTTCTTGCCGGTCGCTTTCTCAAAGGTCAGGGTCACCGGTATGCTTCCTCCTTCCCTTGTCAAGTCTGGCTTGACGCCGAAGACTTTCTCCACTGCTCGTCCTGCGGCTGTGTAATTCCAGTGTTTAGGTGAAGCTACCCACCAGTTACCCGCATGTATCAGGCGGATGTCGATAGTGTTTTTGCTCCCAAGCTTGGCGAATTCGTCCTTGACATATTTGAAGACGTGAGAGTCGACTTTTTCCGATTCCATATCTGGCACTGTTCTTATTGAGAACTTGCCCACGACCTTTGCTGGAATGACTGTCTTGGCTCCAGGGGCAGAGAAGGCCCCTTCGACTCCGTGTACGCTGAGAGAAGGGTAACGCCAACGCGCCATGAGTGTCTTCTCTTTGTCAGGGAAGATACCGGTCTTGCTGCCCAGGGATTCATAGAGGTTGTCCATTGTGTAGCTGATATCTCCATACAGTGACTTCTCCTCTGCGGTCACGGGAGCAACCATCTCATTGATGCCCGGTATTTGAATCTTGCCGTCTGTGTCGACCAGCTTCCCAAGTACGCGGACAAGATCTGTCATTGGCTCCTGTGCACAACCGCCGAAGATACCGCTGTGAAGGTCTTGGCCTGGGCCGCTGATGCTGACGCTGTAATAGTTGCAGCCTCGGAGTCCGTATGTCAGACAGGGCTTCTCGGTGCCTAGCCAGTAATTGTCGCTAATGCAGACCGCATCCGCCTTCTCGAAGAACCCTCCGGGCGTCGCCTCCTTCTCTATAAAATCATCCAGCCCTTCAGATCCATATTCCTCCATGCCCTCAAAGCACATCAGTAGATTTACTGGCAGTTCCACACCGGCCTCCTTGTGTGCTTGTATAGCATTCAACCACCCTAGGACAGGACCCTTATCATCTGTGCTACCACGCCCGTACATCCTCCCCTTGTCGTCAACAGTAAGCGTAAATGGTTCCGTAGCCCAGCCATCGTCTTTCAAAGCAGGCTGCACGTCGTAATGACCGTAGAGGAGAATAGTGCGTTTGTTAGGAGAGGAGCCATAGCGAGCGACGATGACAGGAGGTAGGTGGAGATCCTTTTTGCCGGGTTGGAGGCCGAGGGGACGGGATTCGACATGTGCACCCAAGGCGGTGAGTTCAGAGACGAGGAATTTGGACATCTGTAATTGGGCAAGGTTTAGCTACCTTCTGAAGGCGGAAGGTGAGAGATGAGCAGCTGACCTTGACGACATCAGGGCGGCGTTCGTCATCTGCGGAGACGGACGGTATGGCTACTGCTTTGCGGAGACCTGAAGCGGTGTAAGCAAGGCCCCGGAGGAAAATGGAAAGACCTGTGGATTTGATGATACTCACGTTCAATGAAGGATTCTGATAGCTTGTCCACCCTTGTAGAGCACGTCAGAATCAGTATCGATCTCTTATATCCAGAAAATAGTTGGTGAAAAGGCAAAAGCTCACTGCTTAAAGTAGCCGTCCAATTGAGGCGCCATGGTACGAAATGTTGAAAGACAACGGTTCTGAAGGCGGGGTTTGAGGGACGGAGATGAGATTGGGGCAGGGGCAACGCTTGTAGAAAGTGTATGGCTACTGGGTTTGAGGTTTGATGTTGAGGCAAAGCAAGACGTACGCAGTGGATTGGTGAGCTGTTTAGGCTGTACACGGGGCATGGAGGTGGGAGGGAATCGACAATGCTTGCGGAATTGGATGCAGTCTCTTAGGGCTATAGGCCAGAGACCCTAAATTCTAGAGAACAGCTTCAGGAGCACTGAGAACATACGAGAGCATCTGCATAGCATCGAGGCTAATATTTCGCGTTGATGAACGGAAGAGGCTCGTACTGGTTGTTGAAAATAATAAGGAGCGCAATGAATTCCTCAAAAGTACATCTAGGTATACAAGCGTAATTCGTACAATATAGGCCACAAAACAACGATAACTCCTTTTTCCTTTTATCACCAAACCGACATAACAGCATTGATACCAGACCATACGCCTACCCAACCCAAAAGTGCTCCAGTGCCCCAATCACGGCTTAGACTTCCCGCTCGACCTTCCTGACCTTCCTCCTTTGCCCGTCTTTGGGTACTCACTCTCCTTCATGTGGACCTTCCGGTAGTGCTCCTTGCGGTGATCTTCTCTCTTGAAGCCGTGTGCACCTGTGCGCCCGCACCATTCATATTGGCAATCGAGTAGTTCGTCCGGGGCAGGAGGGAAGTGCACTGTCATGTGTCGTTTGAGGTCGTGAGCGCGCGAGCTGATGTGGCCGCAACTGGGATATAGACAGTGATATTCGGAAGGCGAGGATGGGGAAGGAGTGCTGAATGGGACGTTAGCGAATAAGAAGACTGCAAGGTTTTGCGAGAGACGTGGGGTGAGGAGGATAATAATTCGTGTCGGATAGACAAACGAAACTAGCAATATCTTACCTAAGCCTGCGCTCCTTCTTGTGCCTTGAAGAGGATACAGGAGCAGCATGAACAACCTCAATATCAGGACTCCGCTGATTGTCGTAGGAATAGCTCGGACTCTGTTGGCTTAGCTGGCGACTGGGAACATGGCTTGTGACTGGGTAACTCTGGACTGGATAGCTCTGGTCTGGGTAGCTCTGGACTGGATAGCTCTGTTGTGTTCTTGGGCTAGCCACTGAAGGGGTTTTCGTACCATAGCCAGAGTCGCTTGAGCCGTGAGAGGAGGTACGGTTCATAGAGTAGCATGAATAGCTAGTGTTGAGTGGAGGAGGCCTGAGGTTTTGGTTCCCATGTGGATATTGGTAACCACGGGTGGTTTGCTGTTGATGTTGATAACTGGGAGGACCTGATGAATACTTGAATCTGATGTTAGTCCAATGAGGTATACCACATTGATTTAAGCCTTACAGCGAAATTGGGGTGATCACTCGCGCTACCACATGAATAGCACATGATGTATATATAATGTAGACGAAATCTTGTTACGATAATGACTGTAGACGTTAGAATGCTTTCATACGTTTGGTGGCAAAGACTTACATGTCTTCTGTATTGTAGGCACAAATTGATAGTAAGTAGACCGAGTTGAGAATGAGTGACGAAGCTTGGTGTGTATTAGTTTGTATGGGAAAGGTTCAAGGTATGGGGATGCATGGACATCTTGTATGCTTTGATAAGGTGAAGCAAACCTATGGTCGGTGTGTCAACCGCCGCTAGAAGGAAGGGCCATTTGCCTGTATCAAACTCACCGGTGTGGTTTCCTGTCACTTATGCGGAAGGAAAGGGAATATTCCAAAGGGCGAAGTCGAATCTTCACCGGGGCGGAGAAAAGTGTAGTGCCCCTTCGGTGTGATGAGGAAAACATTGCGGTGTCCATTCAAGATTGAAACGCGCCAGATATTCGCAAGAGATTCTGGTGAAGCTGCCATGACCTTGGAGGGTCGGAACAAAATGCAATTGCCAGGCCTGGCAGGAAGGGCGCGAAGATAGTCGAGTCCTCCGCGGGCACTGCAATCCTGGCTCACTGAGGGTTCTTTAAACTCGTTGGCAGCGGCGCCATCGCTGCGGCCCGCAGCACCACAAGCACTGCCGGCTGGTGGATAACACTTGGACGGTAAGCAGCAGGAATGGTGACTTCGTGAGGCGTTGGCTATGATGCTTCTAGAAGGCACTCGTCTTCGATCCTCAGGATCCGTTGTGACATAAGAGTATGTTTCCCCATTTTCCCCAGCTCCGTTGCTGACAGAAGTTTCGGAATTGGCATGGCGCAGAGTCTGGCAGGACCCAAGGTATTGTGAAGATTCGCAGGATCAGTGCAACGGCGCGACTCACTTTTCAAATCCTGGAACTTTTGGCAACAAGACCGGACGGCCGGGCCATCGGAATCTAATCCAGACGAGGGCGATGACTGTCAAAGCTGTGGCAGTGCGTTAATGGTTCCCGTTGACCGGTGAATTTGAAGCCATGTGTATTGGAACACGTGATCGTTCCGATGCATGTGACTTACTCTGATAGCCTTGCCATTACGATCCAGGTCTCACTCTTGCGCAACGCTCAATTATCATGATATCTATTCCCCAAGTGGAACCCCGCCGATGAGGATAGATATCTACCATTTCGCCCTACCTGTGGCCCGTCCAGGGCTTGGGGTGCTTGGCTGCAATGACGTTTGAGGGAATAGGGCGCAGCGCAGCACAGTCCGTTTCGCACTCAGATAGATACCTGCTCATCGATCAATCGTTGCACCGTAGAATCTGAAAGACTGGTCCCCACCACCACAATAAGCTGCGCAATGCCATAGCCGCCATACACCAGGCCACGACCTTTCCCACTGCCCCAGCCAACAGCTTGGCGGCCATCGTGGTGGAATATTGTAGCCTAGATACCTGGAGCGATGACGGGCACACGACGGGGCACACACGTTCCCTTATTAAGCCATAGTATTGTGTGATTCTTTGGTAGTGAAAAATTGAGGTCGAGCATTTTCATAAGGCTAGAATGAGGCAATGAGGTTTTAGCGCGATAGCCTTGTTTGCCTTCTTTCCTACAAGAACTTACCGACAAGCTAAGGCTGACGAAGAAGAGCATTACTTTGCCGTTTTCGATCCTGGGCAAGGCGCAGACCTCGGGTTTGGATCGGTAGTATTGTGGAGTACTTGCGCCAGAGACGTTGAAGGAGCATGTTCCACATAGGAGAAAATGGTACCTGCACAGTCAGCCTCCCTTCATTCTTCACCATGGTTGCGCTCAAGGCTGTGCTTGTCAGCGCTCTTTTGATACAACAAACATGCAAGAACGAAAATTGCTTAGTGGACACGTTTCACGATCACAAATGCTGCCAATTAGATTTCCTAGGTACGCTATGTAGCGATAGACCGGAGCCATCACCAAACGTGCGAGAGAGCTCATCGCACATATACAGAGTTACCTAAAAGGATTTCGTGTCTCTCTGAATACTCGGCAGTCACAGATCGTCTTCCAAAAACTTATAGGCAAACTTGAAGTCTGCTTTCCGCCGATTCATCCTGATCGGGGCAAAGTCTGTCAGTAACGGATCTAAGGAACGGAGAGGGCTGTTGTCACTTCGAGAGGCCAAGGCTAGGATAAGGGACGATTCTTACCATGTACTCTCGTAATCGAAAAATCGATAAGTCCCTTGCTCATACTCCTCTGTGATTGTCTTCGGCTCCTCGTGTCTCTGAAACCATGTTTGGTATTGCTTGTGAAACCGCCAACTTTGACTTTTGAGCGACTTGGCCGCCAAGTATTGTTGGTAAGTATTTTGACGATAGTAGAAGAGATAGAATAGTGTGTCGGTATCGATCTTGCTGTACAAGCTAGGATCGTCTAGATTTGGGAATGGCTCCTGTGGATAATATGCTGGCGTGTTATATTTTGTGTCTGGTCGGTAGTGGCGTGGCTTCTCCGCATCCAGATAATCTGGACGACTGGCATGAGACGCTGCAAGCAGCCGTTGTACAGAAGGTGAGTCGGATGCAGGCGTTCGGCTCTTTGTGATTTCAAATGACTGTAGAAGATCCTGTAGGCTTGCTGGCAGGTGATAAACAGACTCATCCTCTTCTTGTCTTGGTGGCTCGCCATTTGTTTGTTCTGGAACAGGCGGTTTGGTTTGAACAAGGGTATTGTGCGTCTCTTGTGGCGCTGGAAGAGGAGCTTCGTTAGCTGGTGACTGAACAGCTGCTGCTATCTTCGAAGCTGACGAAGCCCGCGAGTGTATAGAGGTATCAGCCGCTACAGATGGAGTTGGGACATTGCGAGTGCTGGCCGAAGCAGTCGCATTCGGCTGGGTAGGTGGTGGGGATTTTGGTTGGGTTTGTGTGCTTGGAGGAGTTTCTGAGGTTGCTGATACAGGCACAGCAGGCTTTTGGGCAGGTGTGGGACCAGAGCTCGCCGGTAGTGAAGGTGCTGCGCTGGGTGAGGTGGTTGCACTGCTCTTTTGTGTAGACGGGAAAGCAGACAGGCCAGGCGGCGCGCTAGGCGTTGGCGCTGGGGCCGTGCTTGGTGGTGGAGGTAATGGTGCTATTCCCACAGCAGCTTTGTCACTTGCTGCCGCCGCTGCGGCTGCTGAAGCGTACTTTAGCGTCTCTCCTGGGGCTCTTGTGGGTAAAGGTGCAGGCTTCATGTTGTTGTTTGCCGTACCGTTGGTTGCGTTTGCTAAGGGGGTATGAAGTGTTGCCAGAGCTGGTAAGGGCGACTTCAATTGGTTCGATGGTCTTCGGACACCCGTACCTTGAGGCTCTGAGACGGACGTCGATTTCGGTTTCCCAGCACCTGTGCCAGGACCTCGCGCATCCGCGGTTTCTGGGATGTCATCTGCTATCGATTGTGTATCTTGTGAAGAAACTCGATCATTATCATTGCTCAGGCCGAAAGTTTCCTCCTCTTCCTCGAGATTTAGATCATCGTATATTGAGTCGTCTTCATTAAAGTCCACCGCCTGATTCTCTTCAACGTAGTACTTGATGCTTTCTTCTAAATCTTGTACCTGCTCCGTTTCAACGTTGCCATTCTCCAAAGATCGTAACAGTAGCTCTAGTTTCCCCTGATGATATTTGTGCCGCTCCGTAGTCCTCGATATCTCGGACAAACGGTCTGCTTTACCGGTGTCCTTCTTGCCCTTTTTAACTGTGGCCTGTAAAGCTTCCTCTTCGGCTTCGAGCGTTTCGATTTGTCGCTCCAGCTCTTCAACCATATTCTGGAGGAAATTGCACATATCCAATTTCGCCTTCTCTTTAGGATCCAGCTTCGCTGTAGCTTGCAGTCCTTCCTTCGAAAAGGCCTTGGTTTTCATCTCCTTCTCGACCGCCTTGAACTTCTCCATCTCCTACATGAACAGCCACAATCAGCACGTGGCATGGTTCTGAGAAGTGCTTTTACAAGCAGCACCTACGTTCTCAATGGCTTTCCGCTGCTCCATGAGCGGCTTCTTGTCTTTGATTTCATTTCCGGCGGCCCACGTCTTTATCTGGTCTCGATGCCGTTGGAGCTTCTTGATCTCGCGCTTGAGAGCATCCTCCAATTTGTCCTTCTGCGAGGCGTTGGTGGCTTGTTGTATCTTATCGAATATGCCTTCAAACACCACAATTCCCTCAGCAACTTTCTTGAATGTCTTGTCAATCTCCTGCTGCAACTTTCGTTGAGCCATGATCGCTGAATTGAGAGTGAGGGAAACAGGAGATTGCCTGTGTTATTGGCCAGGCTGGAAGGAGAGGTGAGAATAAGCCGTATTCGAGCTGACTTGCTGCAGTGATTTCGGGTTTGAGAGTAGAATGGAGGCTTTGGTGAGACAGGCATCAAGTGGGCGCCTTATGAAGGTTTCACAGCTATGGTGTAGGAATACGCAGCTCGGTGTTGCTAGAGATACCTCAAAGCACTTTCTCGAAGGTGCCAAGGATCGCGAAAGGCGCGTAAGGCTAGCCGCGAGAGGGTGCAGATTACCTTATACTGCTGTGAGGCCGCAACTATCGAAGTCTTGGAGGTCATCAGCTCTTGAGAAATTACCTAAAGCCCATTTTCACCCAGCATTCTACGAGGATTTGAAGGTCTGGAAGATGAGACGGAATCCTCTGTAAATATTCTGACTCAATGAGTTAACAGCCCATGAGGCTTTTGAACTTCTCCGCTTTTCACCCATGATTTTGATCTTTTTTCCCCTTTCTACTGCTCTTTTCATGTATCACTGTTGCTGATACTGTTGCTAATTCTACCTTTTCCCTCCTATACCTTAAACCTTTCATTTCATCTGCTCGTTGATAATTCGGCGCGAAGATGAAGGGTAAGTATTCTGAATAGGTTTCCTAGATCTTGTGCTAATTGCTAAATCGGTCAGCTGTTTTGCAACGAGTCGCATCGGCTTCGGTGACAGTCGATTCGAATTTGGTATCCTCGATTGGAAAGGGTGTACTGGTGTTTGCTGCAGTTGCTAAGGATGACACGCGCAAGGAAGTAGAGTCTATGGCGGCCAAAGTGCTGAAGCTGAAAATGTGGCCCGACGAAAGCGGCGGTACTGTATGCGTGCAAGACCACTCCTCCAGAGTATGGAAATGCTGACTCTCTCACACGAAGTGGAAGCAAAATGTACAGGACATCAAAGGGGAGGTCCTTTGCGGTACGTTAAAAGCAACTTCGTGGATATAGGCACCGACTTTTCAGGCTCAGTCCATACAGTATCCCAGTTCACCTTGCTGGCATCAACCAAGAAAGGGAATAAGCCGGACTTCCATGGTGCCGCAGGTGGTGAGGAAGCTAGAGAGCTGTATGATCAATTCTTTGCCAAAGTACAAGAGCTTTATGAGCCTGCAAAGGTGAAGAACGGCGTTTTCCAGGCCATGATGGAAGGTATTGCCCATACTACTCGTTCTGGTGCACTGCTTACCTGGTTTATGATAGTGGATATACAGAATTCTGGCCCTGTAGGTTTAGATTACACCAGTCACGATGAAGTGGTATTCTGCTAGCTTCTTCTATCCGTTATTTGCTCATCAACCTCTGCTAATGATGCGGTTCTCAGGTCACTTTGGAGATTGATACCAATCCTCACAAAGGTCAAGATGGAAACAAGAAGCCTGGAAATGAGCAAGGGGAGCATCAGCAGAGCAGAGCTTCTGCTGATGAAGGGAAAGGCAAGGTCGCAGAGAGCTTTCAATTACCAGTTGAATTATTAGATTAAGAATTGCTGTCACCAAATGTCTTCACTCTGTAAATATTCACCCTAAATGTAGATCCATGGTTCTCCAGTACTGCTCTCATGTTGTACTGACATGTTCTCACGGCTGAAAGGATTGAATTTTTAGAACCTCATGGAAGAGCCCCACGTCAGTTGCGGCCCGACTGCCTCAGCTTCCAACAAACAGCGGATTTCACTCCGCGATTTGATGCATTGCTTCACCACCAAAATTGATACACACATTCATTGACAGTCATTTGAATATTGTTTGAGACGCGTTGCGGGCCCCTCTTTTTCTTAACACAAACCTACAAGCCGCCAAGATGGCATCGGAGAAGTCAAGTATGTGTCGGGCTCGCGTGACCTACAATACCGGTGCTGAATACAGCCAAACAGGTCGTAGCCGGGTCTTCTTTGACATAGAAATATCTCACGAGAAGAATGGGCGCGTTGTCTTCGAATTGGTAAGTCCCAAGACCCTAAATCAGAGACGTATATGATTTCATGAGCATCCTCCATCTTGCAAGAGTTCTGGGGTCTGACTTTCTTTCTTCGCTGATGAACGAGTAGTATGATGATGGTTAGTGTTGGCCGGTTTATATCCAGGATCTTTTAGCCTGACCTTTTGTAGTTGTCCCCAAAACCACGGAGAATTTTCGATGTCTTTGCACCGGAGAAAAGGGCGAAGGAAAGTCTGGGAAGTCATTAAGCTACAAAGGTTCGTCGATACTATTCGATTACTTGACAGGCCTGCTATCTTTATTTTGTCTAAGACGTATTGTAGGTTCTGGCTTCCACCGTGTCATCAAAGGCTTTATGATTCAGGGAGGAGACTTTACGGCTGGCAATGGCACTGGCGGAGAGTCGATCTACGGCGAGAAGTTTGAAGACGAAAACTTCGAGCTGAAGCATTCAAAACCGTTCCTGCTCTCAATGGCAAATGCTGGACCGGGTAATCGTAACAGCAATTCCGACACAGGGCGTTTTCTCATCATTAGTAGGGACAAACGGCTCTCAATTCTTCGTTACGACTGTACCAACGCCCCACCTTGATGGCAAGCATGTAAGTCATATCAGACAAGGCTACTAACACTTGAATATTCTTTGTTGACGGTTCGCAAGGTGGTGTTTGGAGAGGTCCTAGACAATAAAGGTCTCATACGGGAAATAGAGAACCTGGCTACACAGGCGGACAAGCCCACGAAAGATGTCACAATCGTTGGTGCGTTTCTACTCATCCTATCGCTAAATAGGCGCTGACTGGACGACGCAGATTGCGGTCAGTTATCTGGCGATGAGGCTATGAACGTTGGCAAGAAGGAACCTGATAGCACAGGCGACACGTTCGAAGACTTTCCCCAAGACCAAGGCGAGGAGTACAAAGGCCCCGAGATTCTCAAGATTGCCACCGAACTAAAGGAGTTCGGCAACAAGGCCTTCAAAGCCAATGATCTGACTCTTGCTCTTGCAAAGTACCAGAAAGGCCTACGCTATCTGAACGAGTATCCAGAAGCTTTGCCTGAGGACCCCCAGGAGCTCTCCAAGGAATTAACGCACATCCGGTTTACCCTGCACTCGAACTCAGCCCTTCTTCAAATCAAGCTGAAGTCTTTTGAAGATGCCCAGAACAGCGCGGACAACGCTCTGGAGATTGGAGAAGTCTCCAACCAGGATCGCGCCAAGGCATCCTACCGCAAAGCTCTCGCTCTCCTGGGGCTCAAGGACGACGAGGAGGCGGTGAAGAGCCTCGAGACAGCCCAAAAGCTGGCACCAGGCGACGTGGCCATCAGTAAGGAGTTGGGCGCTGCGAAGAAGAAAGCTGCTGAGCATGCTAAGAAAGAAAAGGCGGCGTACAAAAAGTTCTTTGAGTAGAGGGAACCTTGATTTTGCCTGCCAAATATCCACCAGAGCGCAAACGACAAAGCAATGCAGACGATCATTTGAAATGTTGTTGATACAGGTGATGCCATAGATCAGAATGGATATGTACACAGAAGCGCTCGTTTCAATAATGCAAAGATACACCTTGCTATGCACCTCTGATATACATATGTGCCCGGTCGCGACCATTAGGACAGCGCCTAGACATTGTAGCGTTCGATTTTGGTCCTCTCTCTTGCCGCGCAGCTTCTCCACACCCAGCGGCTCGATTATCTCTTTTACATTGTAAGATGTGCAATACCCCAAGGCTTCCACCGATGATTTAGATAGAACGCATCCAACTCCTGGCACACCCCTACAAATCCTTGCCCCACAACTCCCTCCTCTTGCCCCTATCCTCCCTCGCATACCTCCTTCTCCTACCCCACTTTTCCTGAATCTCCTCTATCATCCTTTGCTCCGCCGCCTTCTTCTCTGAAGGCGCCTCCGCAACCATACCCACGAAGAACTGACTGCACTCAAATTTCTCCGCCAACTTCGCCCGTGTCCACTTATACGGATCTTCACTTCTCAACCTTCTTATCTCCTCAATCTCCTTCTCCCGGAGGTGGTACTTCTTCTCGTACGGTTTATGCTTGTGGACGATTGGTGGTAATCGCTTATCAGGTTGGTCGTAGGGGTTGGCATGCTGATGGGATTGAGCGAGGAGGGTCCGGCGCGGGTCATTGGCTGGGAGGAAGACTGGAGGAGTATGGTAGGGAGATGGAGCGGAGGACGGTGGATTGAAGACGATGTGGTCGTTGACTTGGGACGGAGGGATTGAGGAGGTGAAGGATGGGTCAGGTTTCGTTCTGAGGCGTTTGGTTGTTCGGCGCGCGGAGGATTCGTTTCTTCGGGAGACGTATGGTACCAAGCTTGAGAATGAAGGGAGGAGGAAGGAGAGATTGGAAGGTGGTCGCAGTGAGAGGGAAATAGGCATGTCGCTGCTGCGTTATGACTCGTCGTCGAGCAGAATGTCACTAGCAATTGATCTTTTCTCCTTGTCGGCTAAATGTCGGCCGGTATGGATCTTGCCGGTAGCGAGATTGAAGATCCCTGCCAACAGCGTCACCGTTTGGCAAGGACGTGGCCAACCTTGTGAAACAACAAGTCTAGTCGTTCTTAGCTTATTGGAAGCATCTCAGGAGCACTTTCTCTTGACTCGAAGCAGGCTTTCTTACCTTTTTGGTTCTTGCAAAGTTATCAGACAAATTGATCGACGGTTTTCCAGATCGCACACGTTTCGCTAAGAAAGTGCATGTGGAGAGGAAGCCTTCAGGCCGCACAAGAAACTCAAAGCTGAAAGGTATGCCATTGCCATCTCCGGGCATTTTCTCGCTCCTTGAGATATGCGTTCAGAGTTTTTCCCCGGCCATTCATAGTGGCTCTATACTAAATCTCGATCAGGTCTTTTCTCCGGAAATCAGACCTCGTCCATCCATGCAATTGCAATAGGCCCTCGCGACCACTCGGCACAATGGCCGATAGACGGATCAGTCTAAGCAGGGACGCAGGTGATGATACTGGGTCGCGGACATCGTCGGTACCGCTTTTGGGTGAAGGCTTGAATAACGCACCTGAGGCCGGTGCCGCCCCTGATCTGGATGGGAAGACCGGGAAGCGGAGGTTCTGGGGCTTAGGCAGGAAGAAGGAAGACGATAAGACTAAGAGGACCAGGGAGATTGCTTCAACCAGCATCCCCCCTCCGACAGCCACAACAGCTACAACAGCTCCTCCGAAGTCTATGCGTTCGGTGTCACCAATCGCGGGAGTCGGTGCGCCAATCACGCAGACGATCTCACATCCATACGGCGCGCCAGCGTCTCCATCGCGCAATCTCAATTCGTCGTCACCTGGGATACCATCGCCAGCTTCCTCACAAATATTTGAGCGCTCTGTCCAAGAAGATGGTCTCGCCTCCTCCGTTTCACCAGCCATACCAGCGCACATTACCACCGAGAATCACATCCCTCCTGTCTTAGATGCCTCTTCAGTGGCAATCACAGACGATCACCTGAATCCAGACAACGTAGAAATAATAATGCACTCAGCCCATCAGCCTGCTGCAGTCACGGTAACAGGAGCTGGAACAAGCGAAGCCACGGGAGCTTCTTGGCAGGAGGACCTCGTCGCCCATCCAGACCAAGACGATGCCGCGTCAAATTACGGCGCATTGGATTCGAACGACGTCCGTCGGCTCAGCTTCATATCATTTGCTGATGTTGTGCACGCCGAACATGTGGATCACTCTGGTGGTGTTGCGCCCACCATTTCTAGTCCTCTCGCTGCTGCTCGCAACCGCTCACCGTCCCCTGTGCGCTCTCCACTGTCATCTCAAGGTCTAGGCGGCTCGCCAGTAGCAAGTGGGTCCGACTCTTCTCGTGGTCTGGAGACTTCTCCCAGTCGAGGGGGGCATGGACTCGGCAGCACGTACTCCGGCCACAGTCCGCCAACAGGAGGAGAACTGACGATTGAGACCATGAGGCAAGCGTTGAGGAAGACTGGAAGTGGTGACTTAAGTGGTGCAAGGGGCGCACCAATGATTGCTGTGGGTGGAGATGCAGGGGTTGGCGAACATCCTTTCAAGGATGTATGAAAGAAACGGCGACATTATTGAATTGTGTGGGATCATGCCCTGGGAGCGAAGCTTAAGGGTCGGCCTGTAGATTTGGCGGGGAGGCTATGGGTCCCAATAACGATCTATGTTTACATTTGCTGTACCTCGACTACCCTTTTCCAGCAGCGAGTATTTACTTCAATCTTGAATTATGATGACTACATGTAAGGACCAGCTGCCCTTATGTCGATAATTCAATATCCGACTCGATGATGAGACGTTGACCAGCTGTTTCACGACCAAGGCAGTAAAGCCTACTTATTAGGTAGAGCTGAGTAGGTAGATTTAATTTTTAAGGCCCTTCAGCGGGAGGCTACTGGCTTCAGCCGTTAAATTACCTCTGTACCTACCCTACTGGTGTACCTTTAGTAAAGTTTGAAGAGTTTAGAGTGGGACCCTTTTCCTGAGGCTACTCGGTCCTATCTCGGCGGCCCTCCACTACACCTACATCTTTTACATTCATTGCGCCTGAGACATTTGTGCGTCTCGCCAAAACTACCCATTTCCAGCACCGCTTTGACCGATGTGATTCTTCTTGAAGCTTGGTGCGGCGCTTTCGGGGAATATGATTGCATGATTCCCACCAAAGCTCTATATAAAGATATCTCAATCTCATCCGCGAGCCTTGTTTGTCCTCAAATCGACAACACCGCAGGCATCCCACCCGTCTCCGGACCCTAGGCTACTGCCTCAGGCGACCAAAGACCTTACGTCCGATGTCATCGCGGCAGTCCCTCATGTTCGCTGCCTTTCGGCCGCACAATTCCGCCTCATCGCACGGGTGCCCTTACGCGCGATAAAACAATCTTTCAGCCCCGTGAAGCATATGAAAGCCTGCTCTGGAGACCCCAGTAATGACATAGACAGTAATAGAGTGCAAAATTAGGAGGCCATAGCGACTGAGAAGGCAGGACATACAATGGAGGAGAGGGCCGAGAATAGAAGGCGCGGTGGCAGCAAGCGCAATTCGGGCATATTCGGGCAAGAGCAGACCGGACCACCCTCAATACAACGGCGCACAAGCAAAAAAGCCTCCTCCAGAGACAGACAAGGACAGATCTATTCCGATGAGTTTAGGGAAACGGTCGCGCGAGCTACTACTCCAGACCCAGGTCAAATACATCATTCTGGGACTCCTCTTCCAACGTTGGCCTTCTCAACTTCGAGAAGCGATTCACCACAAATTCCTCGGAGCCCATATCCTGCTTCCCACGCACCTACTCCCAAAGCACGTCCTCAGGTACCGAGCCATTCTAGAAATGGCAGCAAGGAATCTACTACCTCAAGACCGAGAACCCGGACTCTAGAGGAGCGTTACAGGGACATATCTCCTACGTCTATGGTATCAAAAGGCCGACAACGCGTCGGCTCGCTACAGTCACCAGGTCTCCATGAAGGTGTCAAGGATTCGTCTATCGGCTTCCCTTCAACCATCCCTTCTCCACCGTTGGAAGAGCCACGGATACGGCATCGGGCCCTTAAACCGGTGCTGCGGCCGCTATCACCCATTAGGAACCCAATCGCTGCCAAGCCGGGTACACCGTTGTCCTCTTCTTCTACGGATGCCAAAAAGATACTGCAGCTCATGAAGACCACATGCGGGAGGATGCATGGTATTCTCTCATTCCGAACTTCAGCCACGAGCACATGGGCCTCTGGATACTGTGCTATCAACGTCGCAACAGGTAGCTTAATATACCAGGCCAAAGGCAAGGTGTCTGAGAACAAAACCTTGATCCCTGACCTCCGAGGATGTCAAGTTCGGACTCTGTATGACGCTGATTCACGGTCCACTTTTCTCGATGTAGCTACCCGGAGCACTAGTATTGGTATCCACTTACGTCCGCATGTGCCTGAGACTTTTGACTCATGGCTAGCTGCACTACTATGTTGGCAGCCCATTCGACCCAAGGGTGTCCGAGGCAAAATGACGAAGCCACAAGAAGCACACATCGCTGAACGTAAGCTTGGGGACAGCAAAAGGCGTTCTGGCAACTTCTCGACCAAAGATGCGTCCATCATCAAAGTGGGTAAAATGCTGATGTGGGACAAGGAAGATCGGGCAGGCATCTCTTCGCCGCCGCCTTTGCACAGAAGAGCATCGACCTACAAGCAACTAAAGGCAATGTCAAGCAATTGGCGGAAGGTCTCGTGTACACTACAAGAGAACGGGCACTTCAAGGTGATCTCGGAATCAGACTCGACTCTGATGGCTTTTATTCCGCTCTCTGCGCTCTCAAGGTGCGCTATCCAACGACTAGATCCATCAGTACTGGACGATGAGTTCGCGCTCGCCATTTACCCTCAGTATGCATCAACAACCACCACTTTACCCACTATGCAGACAGTTTATCTGTCGATGGAGTCTCGTGTTCTCTTTGAGGTTTGGCTTGTATTACTCAGAGCCTTCACTGTTCCAGAACTTTACGGTCCTGAGACAATACCCTTGGAGACCCCCTCCGACTCACTAGACACTGCGATGGTAACATCTAAAACCACAAATGCTGACATGTTTCGTGTCGAGAGACTGCTATCATTACGGATTATAGAAGCCAAGTTGCATTCTAGTCGGGACAATTTCTCGCATGGCCCGATTTCACAACCGGGACAGCGGCCGTCAAGCAAAATGGGAATGGTCTCTGGCAACTACTACGCCGAAGTCCAACTGGATACGGAGTTGAGGGGCCGGACAGCCGTGAGGCCCGAAACAGGTAACCCGTTCTGGAGGGAGGATTTCGAGTTTGTCGATCTGCCTCCTGTCCTTTCAAATGCGTCCATAGAAGTCAAAACTCGCAATCCAGGCCAGAAGGACTGGACTCTGGCCCACGCTCCCATCGACCTCGAGCGTGGCGACATCAACCCGCATTCCATTGATGGCGATATCGAGGTTTCACCCTTGGATATGACATACGGGAGACTGGACCTCAGACTTGATGACCTTGAAAGGGCAACTGATACGGAGAAATGGTGGCCTATCGTCAATGAACAAGAGCAAGCTGTTGGTGATATACTCATGAAGGTTCGAATAGAAGAGTTGGTAGTACTTATGAGCCAAGACTACGGGCCCATGTTGGATTTGTTGTGCCACTTTTCAAACGGTTTGACAATTCAGATCGCTCAAATGGCCCACACTGAGCTACGACGGATATCGGAAATTCTCCTGAATATCTTTCAGGTCCCCTTGGAAGCCAGTAATTGGCTCAAATCGCTCGTCGAGGACGAGATTGACAGTATTCACAAAGAGACCCCGATGTCCAAGTTTCGCTTCGGACGACGCATTGCGTCGCACGATTCCTACGAATCAGGCGTCGAGCGTGAAGTGT